TGTGAATTGACACTAACAGGTGCCTTAATCTTGCGGCATTCTGCCTTGTAAATTAATGAGAATGTTTATTTTTGCATCTTTAATGGTATTTTTAATCTTTCAACAGGAGTTTTTGATCTTCATGTAATAAATGTAGTGTATTTTGCTAATATTAGCAATAAAACTCAGAATTGACTGCTATATAAACAGACTGTGGTTGGATTCTCAGTTACATTTTGAGTTTCATACACAGAAAGTTGGGGGTTTGTAATAATTTAAGTTCCAGTGACTGGATTAAACCGAACGGTAATCATCCAGTCACTCCTACAAAATAGAGGTTTCTCTGTTGAGCGCACAAGAAACTTAACTCGAATTCAAGAGGAGAGTCATTTGAGGTGGTTTGTTTTTATCTGATAGTCCCTAACTTGTTTGCTCCGAGCAAGGTGACCAGATCCAGCAAACCTAAATGTGGCACAGAGGGTGTGTTGGCGTGGCACAATGTGAGACATGTTTCTATTGCTGAGAGGCATCTGAAGAACGAATATAATTTATTTGAATACAACATTCCCAGAGCAGCACAGTGGTGCAGTGGCTGGTAGAGTCCCCTCACAGCAAGAAGGTCCTGGATTTGACTGCAGATCAGGCTGACTGAGGCCTGTGTGTGTGGAGCTTGCAAGTTCTCCCTGTTCCTGTGTGGGTTGTCTCCTGGTACTCTGGCTTCCTCTCACAGTCCAGATAAATGCTTGTTAGGTTAATTGGTGATTTTAAATTTCTGTGGGTGTTATTGTGTCTGTGCACTTACACTGGCGACCTGTCTAGGGCGTATCGCACCCTTTGCCCTATGATAACTGTGATAGGCTCCAACCCACCCTGAATTAGATAAGTGCTTCTTTTTATGTTCCTGTTATCGCAGTTGCTGTTTTGTCCAGCGGTGAGGCTAATTCAGACTAATTTGCCTGAATCTGTATGACCTTCTAATTACACAATATTCATAAGCAGCAAAAGACAGTGACATGGCTTTAGTAAAGTCTCCACATAAAGAGAGGCTCCAAGTCGTACTAGCTTCTGGAGATCCTGTGTGAAATGTGGAGGTCAAGCAATGACACTGATACCTGAAAACAGAATGGCTCCAAAACGCAAGGCATCAAGGAAAAATATATCACGGTCACCAGATTCTTACCTGCAACCTTCTGGTTGTACCTAGGAGAGTGTGATTTGCTTTGAAGATCTAACATGAAGAGTTACGTATAGCCAAACAGGTCTGGTAAACAAGCTGCTCAAGAACTATGTCACTTTGTTGTTGAGGCCTATCTGTTGTGGTGTTAGGCAGCACACCACAAATGTGAGCATCAGCATTTGAACCTGATATAGTTGGATGAAAAGCAGTGCAAGATAATTAGTAACTGCTTGCCCTCCACTGGACGAAAGAAAAAGGTTTTGTGAGGCCAGATCTGAAAGTTTTAACTTTGAAAATGGGAGGAAACAGAGTTGTAAAACACTGATGAACTTCTCTGTTTAACATTGAATTAAAGTCAAAGTGGCTGGCACTTGATGATAGTGGCAGTCATGTGACTGGAAAAATTAATTAGTTGTTTTTAAAAGCAGCACTGCTAAGAGTGAGTCGACGTGGTTACATTTCAACAAAGCCTTTGTTCAAAAGCATGAAAGTCGGTCACACGTAGGAGCTGAACTTTGAGACCGTCATGGTCACTAAAAGCAAGCCTAGAAAAATATATATGTTACATAAGTACATGTTGTCATGCGGAGGAAAATGCAAAAGAGGACACTTAAACCATACCAGCATAAGCACTTTGCAATCATTGCATCCGCTCTTACTCACAAAAAATGTGGTATATGCTGATGTGTCAGTCACGAACCAAATGGCTCTTAGAGACGGATCTTTGACGTGAATGACGCGAGCCGGATTTTTTTCCTTTCTCTCTCTCTCCCACCCTCTCTCTCGCACTTTTTTCCTGCTTCACTCCGCACGCGAGCCTTGTGCTTTCCGCTGGGATGAGGGGGGAGGGGCGG